AATCAGAAGCAGGCTCCAGCCTCTGAGCTGTCAGCACAGAGCCCCACAAGGGGCTCCAACTCACGAACCACAAGATCATGACCTGAGCCGAAGGAGGATGCTTAACCAACTGAGCCACCTAGACACCCCCAAATAGGTTCTTCTAGATGAAAAAAGCTCACCCTTACTGCCAATCAAGTGTAAATTAAACTAACCTGGAGGTTATCATTTTGAGTATTTGCAAAAGTCAGTGAAAATTCAAAATCATAATACCCTCTGCTGAAAAGGTTGCCGTGAAAACGGCATACTCACACTATTAGTGGCATTATAAATTAGAACAATAAATGCTTTGGTGAAGCATTCACCAATTTTCATTCAAAAAATGAAAATGTTTCTGCTCTTTGATCCAGGGCATCACTTTGGAGAATTTATCTTAAGGAAATAATTTAATAGAAAAAAGAGGAGCTATGTACAGAAATCATTGTCATGTTAGATCGTAAACATCCAAATATGGAAGCAATCTAAATGTCTGGTATTGGGAGAATGAATAAGTAAATTATAAAAAAATGTAAATTATATTACATAAACAATTTGGAATACTTTATAGCTATTTCAGATTATTGTTATGACAACATGTAAAAAAAAAAAAAGGACTTTTTCATGCCATATAATAATAAAAAAAAAAATAGTTAACGAGATGCCTGGGTGGCTCAATTGGTTAAACATCCGACTTCGGCTCAGGTCATGATCTCACAGTTTGTGAGTTTGAGCCCTGCATCAGACAGGCTCTGTCCTGACAACTCAGAGCGTGGAGCCTGCCTTGGATTCTACGCCTCCCTCTCACTCTGCCCCTTCCCCGCTTACACTCTGTCTCTCTTTCTCAAAAATAATAAACACTTAAAAAAAATTAGTTAAGTACAAATTCACACCACGACTGCAACTATATTAGAATATATGCTTATGGGCAAAGGTAATTTGTCAAAATGAAAACAGTTGCTATGTTAGGGTGATACAATTGTAGGTGATCCATACTTTGAAATGTTTTATCTTTTAATTCACTAGGTAAGTTCTCATGGAGCTCTGTTACAGTACTGTCAATATGCAAAAATTAAAAGATTAGTAAAAACAAAGAGAAAATCCTCAGGAGCTCTAGGTTTGTGGGAAGACAGGCTATTGTGACACAATGTGATAAGATTTAATAATTTGTTGTTCTTTAGTTGAAAATCAAAGAAACGGAAAGCAGAACAAAATAACTATTTTGTGCTTTAAATTTTCTTCTTTTTTCTCTCTCTAAGAGCATATTCAAATTGTACAGGCCCAGGTTTTAGTCTTCATTCAGATATTGTCATGCCCTATATTGTAAACTATGGCTCTGAAGAACAGATTAAGCACTTCATCCCCCAGATGACTGCTGGGAAATGTATTGGCGCCCTAGCAATGACAGAGCCTGGGGCTGGAAGGTAAATCAACATTGATTTGGTTTTGATTTTTGGAAGCAGTGCCCTAACAGCAAATATTTTCTCAGTACTCAGTTCATACAAATATTTGCATGATGTATAAGGAAGGATACAAAGATTAACACAAGCTCAATTTACAATCTCAAGTAACTTCAACTTCTAGTAGGAAAATAAGGCCTTATCATATATAAAGAACAATAAAACATAATATATGCTGTTTTTCAGATATTAACATAGGGCAATGCAAATAAAGTGGTAGGGTATGACTAGAATTTGGAGCATGGTAGATTTTGGATGTGGTGTGACATTCACATGGCAATGTCCAGCAAAGATTTGGGATTCCGGATGCAAGCTGGGGTGGCAAGAATTGGAGCAATGAGAAAGAATAAGATCATTTATTCAGTCATTTGAAGGTTACTTACTAAGTGCCTGTAATGTGCCACATACACAGTGGTGAACTAGAACAGATGTGGTCTCTGTGCTTATTGAGGAGAATAATGAGAAACACATAAATAAATATATCCCTAATTATAAATTATGATAAGTACTATGAAGGGAACATGGTGCTATGCTAGAGACTAATGGTGTATGTGTGTTTGGTAGGAAAGGGAAAAATGAATTTAGATATGAGTGCTAGAGAAGGCCTATAAAAAGTGGTTACATGTAAACTGAGATGTGACAGCTTTACAATATGATTGAAATCTTGAATTGTGACACCTCCAGTTTTGTTTTGTTTTGTTTTGTTTTTCAAGATCACTTTGCTATTTGGGGTCCTTGGTGATTCTATACAAATTTTAGGATAGTTTGTTCCAGTTCTATGAAAAATGCTATTAGTATTTTGATAGGGATTGCATTAAATCTGAAGATTTCTTTTCGTAGTATAGGTATTTTAACTGTATTTGTTATTCCAACCCATGACATGGAATGTCTCTCCGTTTCTTTGTGTTGTATTGAATTTCTTTCATCAGTGTTTTATAGTTTTCAGAGTATGGGTCTTTCACCTCTTTGGTTAAGTTTATTCCTAGATATTTCATTATTTTTGGTACAAGTATAAATGGGATTATTTTCTTAATTTCTCTTTCTGCTGCTTCATTATTAGTATACAGGAATGCAACAGATTTCTGTAC